AGGTTGCTTAGTCATTTCAGGCTACTATTTGGATTCTGTGAAGTATACTGTATTTTCATCTAAATGAGTAAAGGATAGTGGTCTTTTAACAATGTCTTAACCATAACCCTATGTTTCAAACTCTTGCATTTCACATTGAAAACAAAGACATTTAGCACCTGCAGTATCACTATTTGATATTGAAATTGTTAAGGTAAAGATGAAAGTGTTCTTGGAACCTTTTAAATTCAGTTTTCAAAAAGGTTTCACTTGAAGGTTTCACTTAAATTTTCTTCACTCAACGTACTTGACTTCTTATGTTTGTAGTCCCTAGTTGAGGAAAGTATTTCATATGATATTTTGACAAACAGGCTGTCACAAAAAATGAAATGCTGAAAAATACTGGAAATATAGAATTTCCCACAAATAGTAAAGATTATGCCAAGCGTTTCCCATACACCTTATATGGGAACCCAGTCCATCATGGGGAGCACAGACAAACACGGAGATATTTTAAAGACACTATTTAACCTGGACCTAAAATATAACTTCAAATAAACAGGCAGCTGAGTTCTTTGTTTCTGGCACAGCTTTGGCAATTATAATGATAAATTAGGCACAATGCGTTAAACAAATGTTTAATAATAATGACAAGAGCACACACTATAAAACACACAGTGCAACATACAGTACAACAAACAAGTTTCTCTATTTACAAACATGGAGTACTCAAGGCCTGAATCCAGCCCCTCCATCACATACTGTAGTACTTCCTTTGCCAATGTCTGACTAAATCTCAGGGGGCTGTCACTGATAGTGGATTGGGACAGGGCAAAAAAAGGGTGGTGTTTTATTTTTGTTCTGTTTTTGGATAAATGGAAAATTAATTAATAAAAACTGGTGCAGAATCCAAAAGAAGTGCTGGGCTGTGCTTCTGTGTCTGTCAGTGCATAAGTGTTTTCTGAATGGTCTGTAGTGTAGTGAATCTTCCATGCCTTCCAGCTACATTACATTTCCTTTCAAACTGACCAGCTTTCAGTAAGAAAACCTCATATTAGACAAAGAGGGCTTGTTTACTTCACTCCCTGACAAAACCACTTTGCAGCTGATTCCCAGGCAACATCCAGAAGATCAAACGCTAAAATGATAGAGGTGTTTCACAAACAGAGTGACTGAGGGAGACATCAGGACGCAACTTCTTGACAGCTGCTTTCAATAGGAACTACTGTATTCTCACACTGCTTGGATCTTGTTTGAAACAAGCGGAAGAGCTTATCTAGAAAATTACCATCTGCTTTCCATTTTTTAGGACATCTGGTGCTCGCATCAAATTGTAACCCACAGCTAGATTTAATCCTAAATATAAAATGTGTCCTTGCTAACCTTGTTAACCTGAGCTTTTTGGACTTTAGATCCAACGGGACTGTCCATAAGAGCAAAGCTGTTAACCCTGAGGTCCTGGCTAGATCCAACTCTGGGCTCAAGCATTCTGGCCTCCCTTAAGTCCTCCAACATTCTGTCCCCTAATAAACTACCCTGAAAATGCTTCAATTCACCACTCTGTCCCAAAAGATGCGGGGGTCATAATTGGAATGAGAGTTGAATTTTAAATATTTAAAACTTAAATACTGATTGATTTTTACATCGAAAATATTGCCCACAAAATGTGGAGAACACCCTAGACACAGTCCAGTGGATACTCAGTACACAAGCACAAGCATACAGTAACAATTTAAAGGACACCAATTTACCCAGCCAGCCGGTACCAAGCTGGAGCTATTCTGCTTAGACACAGAGATAACATGCAAGCTCCAGGCAGAAGATGTCACAGCTCAGAATTTAATCTAAGAGCCTCATGTTGAGAGACAGCAGCCCTAACCATCACAGCAATCAAAAACCAGTAAAACCTTTCACAAAGGAAAAGGAGAAATACATTTACTTACATTTCAATAGAACAGAAAATACAGACAACAGAATAATAGTCTCATTAGGTTTTTTTCTTTTTGACTTCGCACTTCCCTTATCTGCAACATCCAGCAAAGAAAAGCTTGCATCATTAAAACACAATTACTGTATGTACTGTATCAGACAATATCTCATAATGCCAGTATTGCGCTCAGTGTCCTGACTGTCCTTCCCTCCACATTTTTATTCTTTCTGCTGATTTAAACAGCCCTCTTGGCTTGTGACCCAACAGTGAAACATAGCCAGCTGATAAACCTGAGTCCCTTTGTGTATGAAACTCGAAAAGCAGCAGATAAGGATGAAGGAAAAGGATAAAGAGAAAAAAAGAGGTGCACAGGCAAGGAAAAGAAAAAGAAGGGGAAAACCCTTAAGTTCCCAGTGCCCTTATACTGATTGCATTTACAAATTGCATCTTTGATTAAAGAGCAGTGTGTGGGGATGACAAGTATTGATTTCCAATCTCCTTCCAAAATGACTCTATCATTGTGAGTAAGTCAGGCAATTTGCTTCACTTTACTCTTCAGGCCTTTGGGCTTAGATCACCCTGACAGACTTAGATCCCACAGAAGATGTTTAATTAGTAAGGAAATGAAAAAGAATTACTGTAAATCTTCACCATCAGTGTTTAGTTAGCAGAACGGGGAAATTTTAAAGGTTTTCTTATTTGTATGACTAAATTGGCTAATTTGTTCCGTTATCTTTACTACGCAGTTGCCATTGATATTCCAATAATTAAGATCTGTTCTCTTTGGATGACGTACTTGCTATTGTTCATTTAACAATTCACTTAGGCCACAAACAGTGCAGTTAAGGCTTGTTCATTGAGTGTCATTAAGAGAGCTCAAGCATAAAGGCTGTAATAGATAATGGTGAAATAGCTGTGTGAGTCGGTAATAATACATTAAAGAAGATAGAAGCAGAGTGCAGCCATAGGCACTAGATTCTTACTTCATTATAAATATGCGACCAAAGCAATCTTAAGCTTTTATCAAAATGCTCTGTGACAGCGTTTTCTCCTTAAATGCCCAACAAATATGTTGAGATTGGGAACAATGCACAAGCTAGCTTTAATGTTGTTGTAATGGTTGTTTTTTATCATTGTGGTTTAGGAAATAAAGGATGGTAAAAACACAAACTCAAATAATAGTTATTAATAAACGCAGTTTATTGGAAGAGACAAAAAAGTTGGAAATCAATTGGAAATGCGGTGGAAAACAAATGATTTTCCACTTCAATTAGTACTAACAATTATGAAAGTGAATCAATTAAAGCAATAGCAAAACTGACCATTTAAGTAACCTCGGTGAAATTCACCTTGAGATGTATTAATACATTTACACCCCTAGCCGTCCTCAATTATGTCAGAAGACGTGGTCGTGTGAACACATCGATAAATAAGTCTTAAGAGCAACCTCTCTTAGATCCCATCTCTTCATCTCTGTCATTGTTTGTTAGTCCATGCTTTCTTTTCAATCCTTTCCTGTCCGAGATTTCTGGAAGAGCTTGTTGGGCATTTGCAACCGGAGAAGCCTTGGGCTCATTCAGGACCTCCGCTGGGTGGCTGTGAGTATCTACAGACCGCTCAACCGCCAGAGCTACGGGGTGGAAGAAATCCAAAGTGTCAAGATCAGATAAGTTCACCGTTTCCACTGCATGATCCGCAGACCCAGCTGGATCAAAACCAGAGTGGAAAAGCGCATCAGGGAGGGTCAGGTCATCCATGACGTTAGCAAAGTCATCCACAGAAGGCGCAAATTCTTCCAAGAGACGGGCAAATTCATCTAGACCCTCTTCAGTGCTGGGGATTTGAGAGTGCTCTTTGTTTGTCTCTGCTGTGTTTACCTTTGAACAGGATTCGTTGTCCTCCAGAGTTTGCTCAGCATGGGCTTCCATGATTGCAGCCTGTGCTTTGTTATACTGTGATGTCTTTTCGAAGGCAAGTGCATTACTGCCTGTTCTCACAACATCCTCGATTAAGAAATCCAGGAATTTGGCCTTTTCAGGACCTTCAGTGGCATCTGGGGGCTCCACGGGGTTCTTCAATAGACCGGGACTAGTCTTTACGTCTATTCCATTTCCATTTTCATAGCTGGGAGCAACAACACCACTACCAGGCTCTAAGGCATGCTGAGTATTCACAGGAGAATGACCAAAAATGGAATTGAACATTTCAGGAGACTGATCACTTGTAATACATTGATTTTCTTCTAATTGCTTAATGGCAGATGTGAGCTGTGAAGGATGAGAAAGGTTGACTGTTCCGATATATTTTAAAGATACTGGCTCACTCACTGTGTTTGCGGAAGACCAGCTCTGATGGGGCAAGTGCTGCCCACTGAGCACAGGAAAGGCTGCTGGTAATGTGCTTTGTTGCTGTAGGCTGGGATACAACACAAAGGCTGTAGGCGTTGCTTGGACAGTGTTTGGCTTATAATAAAATCGTTGTTGCATCCGACTTTGTAGTAAATGATAAATCAGAGTGTCACCGTTGGGCAGGTGTTGTTGATAAATTGGCTGTGGATTTTGGACCAGAGCTGGTTGCCTTAGATCCATCACTGGTGAACTGAAATACGAGTTCTGACAATAACCCATGGGAGGAATGCAGGAATGTGTTGAAGAGAGATTCACTCTTCGCACACTGGGATCACATTGCAGAACTGCAAAAAACAATTATGTTATTATTATCTGACTAACAAGAACAGATCAAAATTGTAATATTTTTCATTTAGTCAAAAACCACATGTACATATGGTCTCACCTGCAGCCTCATAATTTGGTTGATCTTGGCAAAATGTTCCTGGAGTCCCAAATGACCTTTGCAATGCAGTTGGAGCTGCAAAAAATTATCAGACCAGTTAACATTTACAGTAGCTTGGCCAGAACACCACTATCACTTAAATAGGCAACAAAATTAACCTTTTTTTTGTTATGCCTCTTCATAGACATTTTGTGCTGGACACAAAATAAGTAATTATTTATATAATAGTTATTTATATTATTGTATCAAAGTGGATTATTTTTTAAATGAAATATCATTTAATAATTTAATGGAACCATTACAGTTAATTTAATAATGCTATTGAATACAGAATAAAACATGTTTAGCATTTTTATTTAAAGGAAATTGAAAAATTAGTTCTTCTAAATGATCTCAAAAATATTTATTTTCACAACATATTGTATTATAAATATGAAATCATATAATGGTAACGAGTATAAGACATCTTTCTGTGGGACTTTTAAAGAATTATACATATGTTTTGCTTTACCTTGTAAAGGTCATGGCTTGAACACAAATAAATATATTACGAAATTGCTTACCTTTTTGAGGAAAATTACACTGGTAGTTTCCTGAAAGCTCTTGGTAGGCTTGAAACTGAAGCTTATTTCCCTGTATCACTGTGGGTACAGAGTTCTGCAAGCTGCTAGTCGAAAATGTATTGTTCATTTAATCAAATGAAGCAAAATGAATGTCTTGGATTGAATGTAAATCAGAAAAACTGACCCTTGTCCAGCTTGTCCCTTGAACTCTGTAACAAACATGCAGTAAATATTCTAACACTGTTGCTATGCTAATTGTGATGTCATCATTAATCAAAAATATACAATGTCTATAGTAGAAAAAACAAAGCTTCTTGCCTTTTCATGATACAAACCTGGGAAACTGGGAAACTATGATTTACTTGCAGAATACAACAAAAAAACAACACAAAAAACACGTACAGTACCAACTGACTATAAAAGAGGAAATCAATTCACAAGTTAGTAATAAGCAAAAGCTTATGAACAGGCTGCTTTTCCACTATTGAAACATAACCTGGCCATATTTCTTAATAAATTAGATTAATTCCAGGGAGAACATTGTATCTTTCATTTTCTTAGCATTTTATATTACTATCTAATGGGTTACATGGACCAAATGGCCTCATTTGTAACTTTCCTTATGTTCTTATGATATGAAAACCAGTATTTATGGTTTTGATGTAAAAAAAAACAAATCAGTACTGTACCACAAAAAAAGAGAAAATATTTACATGCAAAACCATCAGTAAACCATCAGTCCACCCTGCACTTCCTATATAATTCATTGTATATACACAAACAATGTACAGTATATCAATTACAATTATTATATATACAGTAGCACATTGTTTATTTTGACCTTTTTTTTTTACCATTCCGCCTTATGTAACTTGACATTGGGTTCATTATGAGAGTGTAATAGTTCTGCAGGGGCCTGCGTCACTGCCTTACTGGGAATTGAACCCAGGGACCCAGCACTGCGCTATCTGCATAGGGTTTTCTCCAGGTGCTCCAGTTTCCTCCCACAGTCCAGAGACATCCTGGTGGGTTACATTTCTTCTGGGAAAACTGGCCCTGAACTGGTGTGTGTCTGTGTTTGTGTCCGTGTGAGCCCTGGCAAAGGACTGGCATTCAGTTTGGGGTGTACCCCACTTTCCGAGACGCACCCTGGCTCCCCCGGGACCCCAAATTGGATAAAGTAGTGAGAAAATGGATTGATGGTATATCATGGTAATTGTTTTCAAAGTGAGTAATCAGCTTAATATATTTATATTACAGTAGCTCAGTTTATTTAGCTAGTAATCCAAAAAAGACATTAAATATAATGCAGTTGCATTAAACGCAATATTTTTCCCTGAAAGCTTTCATCTAATGCACATTTAAGAATTTTTCTACACCAAAAAAACACACACAGGTTCTTAACAGTGTATAAAGTAGCAACAGTGCTAGTTTCTGAAAACACTGAACTATCAAAGGATACCGGGGATTAGCAAAGACTGGCTTCCAGAAAGTGTAAAAGCAAAACCTATGGGAGTAAGCGTGTCTAAGAAGCAGAGGAAATATGGCCAAGTTCCTGTAACTGAGGCTGCCATGAGGGCTTCTGTATTCCCTTAAGTGAAAGAAGATCCATGAATCTATGCCTGTCTTTCAAAACAAATGACTGTAAAGGTTTATACCTATTGCTGATCTGAATATGTTGTACATATATACAAGATGGACAGCAAGTAAACATAGATGATTATTGTTAACATCTCCCTTGTGAATTTCATGCAATCAAACATTTTAAGGAAGACAGATTCATAGTTATACTATTTGGATTAGCCAGATTA